ATAAATGTGATGGTACCAGCAAGGCTTTAACGGGAGTGTGTCCTCCAGAAAGCAAGGATTTAATAACCTGGGAACAGGACAACTGGGGTGCCTGTGGACAAGCATTAAGGGACAGGTTTGTGGTTTGCAATGGTGGATGCATCAGAACATTACCCAGGAAGGGAAGGGGCAGTGTACTTTGCAGAAATCAATGAACAAAGCCAAAGTTGCCTAATGTGCAAGATGTACGTTAGCTGAACACGTAGCGGCGCTGATGTTGATGCATCATTCTCTAAGGGCTGTTTCCATGCAGAAATCCAATTGTACATACATCAACTTAAAAGGCTTCTCTGAGCAGCTGGCCTCCCTACTGGCATTTTTCTTTTGTCCAGTGTCATTATTGATCCCTGAGCTCAGGGGGCAGAGGAGGCTCCTTGTTCCAAGGAAAGCACCGATACTGGCATCTTGCCGTCGCCATGGCGGGTTATTGACTGCCTGTCGCTCCGCGCAGGCGGCACAGTTGCACTGGGAATTTGGTGAACCCAGTGGAACTGCGGCAGGGGGTAATTGCTGGGAGGTCGTTACCAGTCTTCTGGCATAGTTTTGCAGCTGCTCGTGGAGGCTTTTATTTTCCTGTGCTTATGTTGCATGTTAAAATTCTGAAAACCTTTGAAGAGTGTTTACAAACCTCTGGTCCCTGCAGCAACGCTGTGTGTGTGGTGGTTGGTTTGTTTGTTTGTTTGCTCCTTTCCAAGGAAAAGCCCTGCAAGGCTCCTTTCCTCTGGCTTCTGCTTTTGCAAGTGAGTCTGTGTAAGGTCATTAAAAAATTGTTGGATAGAGGCAGGATAAAGGATAGAGGCAGGAATCAACTATGCATGGAGTAGCAAAGGGTGATGAATTTGGTCATGATTCAGTCTAGGTTAAAGACTAATTTCCTCTGAAATGCCATCAGAAAGCATTTGTCCATAATAATATGAGGATACAATTTAGGTCATGGTGAGGAAGGCTATTTGGAGGGGGTGACTAAAGCAAAAGGAGTGAAGCTGAAATTGCTCATGCTCAACAGCTATAACTCCAAGCCAGATGTTTGCAAATGTTAAATACTCTGTGGGAGGGGAGGTTTGTACCCCTGTAGAGCCAATTTGGCCCTTCAAACCCCATGTAATGGGAAGAAACTGAATCATACAAGTTAATGCAATGACCTTGTGTCTCACCTGTGCTATTGCAAAAGATCTCTGCTCTGTTACATATATGCTTAGCATTAACTTTTTTTTTTCTTTGTTTAAAAGATTTCACTTTCCAGAACAAAATAATTGTTCTGTCAATACTCTTAACCAAATACTGGTACCGATTCACATGATCAGCAGATGAGAAACAATATCCAGGTATGATCTCTCAGCATAAACATGTGTTTGGAGGGGCTTTACTCAGGCGGTGATTAGTTTGCCAGCTGCAGACAGAGCTACAGAGGAAATAACTGGAGAATGCTGCAAACTGCAGTGGGGAAGAAACTACACCAGGACACGCTGATTCACACTGCAGCAGGCAAAGGGCAAGGTTTAGACTCGGATCTGCTGGATTTGAAGCTTCTGGCTTCTTTGAGAGGCTTTTTACATTGTCAGGCAAGCAGTGGAGTGGAGACTTTTCTTTTTTTTTTCTTTTTTTTTTTTAATAGGTAGGAGGAGGGGGAAAAGCCCTGCACAAAAAAAAAATAAAAAAAAAAGAACAAAAAAACAAAACCAAAAAAAAACCAAGCTCTCCAAGAGGGAAATATTGCACATACCTTTTCAAAATCCTTTAGGATGCAGCTGCAGATAATGAAGACAAATGGTTCCCTGAAAATTACAATAAAGATAATAATGGCAATAGGCTATGCCTAGAGTTCATCTCAGCTTTACAGACTGATGGCAGCAAAGATGATAGTGTGATGGAGCCTATTACCTCAGTAGGAGGCAGACATATACAGCAGCTAGAAGGGTAAAGAGCTATTTAAAATAATGAATGAAAGTAGTATACTAGAGTCTGAGGCAGAAAATCATGGCTGAGATCATGAATAGTACACACTGAGTAACAACAGCACCTTATGCCCTTGCTTCCTTCACTTGGGATATTTGAGGAGCACCTCTAGTGCCCCCTCCAGAATGAGAGATTTCAGCAAGCAGTATTAGGCAAAAAGAAGTTGGTCAGATTGTTTTCAGAAATATGGTCCTTTTGTCATTAACATCAAATCATTGCTCCAAATCTATTCTGTTGGAGAGAGAAAACGCTAGTAGGAAAATTCTATAGGTTTACAGCAGGATTTCTATTGAAAAAGAAGGCAGTTTTCTAAAACATCCCAGTAATTCTGGTACCCAGCTGTATTACAAGGTACATGGAAAAACTAACTTTAACTTAATCCTCCTATACTAGATGATGCTGTGAGCTCTAGTTGATGATGTGGAAGAAGTCTGCTCATAGTGAGAACGCTTTGGCAGCCTGGAGATTCTTCTAATCCCTGGAAAGGAAGAAGAGATCCCAGAGGAAGGTCTAAACTATCCATTTTTGTAAAACAGAACACTACTCACCCTGTCACTCCATGCCTATGCCATCTGAGAGTGCGGCAAGGTAAGAAACTGTCCTTTTGTGCCACTTCCTTCACTTTTAAGGAAACCTTGGGACAAGAATTAACCAGAAAGGGGTAGAAAAAATCTATTTTGAACTAGAAGCCTTGGAAAGAGGACTGAGAAGATTGAGGGATAGGCCAAAGCAGATTAGAAGCAGGAGGGCTGCTGCATTTCTGTCAAATTGAGGGGAGGATTCCCAGATGCTAATGCAGGCACGACGTGGTCCTCCTGGTTCCTGAACACCTCGGCCCAGGCTTGTGCCAATGCCCAAGTGCCCTCAGCACAGGCCTTTCCACTTACCACAAAACAGAGTTGGTACTAAGGCCTGATGAACAAGTATAAGGGATGTTCATGTCACTAGAATAGCTGTACTTATAGATCGGTGCTGAAAAACACAATTGGTGCCTTGTATTAATAGGGTTAATCTGTTATCCAGGAAGACCATGCACACCTCATGGAAGAGTCTGTGACCTCCTGGAGGGGAGCTGGCTACTAATTTGACTGGGACGGTCAACCAAAGCTCTGCAAGCCCTTCACAGCCTCTCCTCCGTTGACTCATATTCTACTGAGGCATCTTATGCTTGCCCTTAACAGCCACTGCCACCTCAGCCTGTCCCTTTTTGGAGGTGTCCTGGAAGCTCCTTTAGACTCTCTACTGCCCATCTGTAAAATCCCCCAGAACCACAATATTATCCTTCCTCCAAAAAGAAAGCATCTGTGCCTGGGAGCCTGTGACCCGCAGGGCAGTGGTCGCGCAGCGGAAGGGCCGTGGCCGCTGCTCCCGCAGCCCTGGCAGGCGGTGCTCTCCGGTGTCTCCGACGCTATTGCCGGGAGCCATCTCTGCTGCGCAGGCACGGCCGGCATTGCCGCGGGGCCTCTGCTTGGAGGCAGCCATATATTACCTCTAAATAGAAAAATACCGCTGCTAAGGGAACAAAGGCTTTCAACTGAGATTAACGTTTTATTGCTTGAGCGGTAGGTATCAAAGGGCCTTATGGCTCTTCTGGAGGCGCTTCAGTCCCGTTGGATTAAAATCAGCACAGCTGTTCTCCAACTGGTTTGAAGAGCGCTTCCAGCCAGCGCCACTTCCTGCGCTCGCTGTCCCGCTTCTGGAAGCGCTGCTGTCCTGCTCAGCTCACATGCTTGCTCTTCCTCCTCCTCCTCCTCCTCCTCTTCCTCTTCTTCCCCTCTATTTTCGAGCTGGCCCCATCCCTGCATCCTCTCTGCGCTTTCCAGCAACAAATATCAGCACAGAACCGCTGAGAGCAGTGGCGGCGGGGGAGAGGAATTGGAGGGTGTTCTAGTAACAGAAATAAAAATGCACAGAGAAAAGGTGAGTGCAGGAGATGTCAGATTCCTATTGCCCTTCTGCCTCGATGGGGGATTGGGCACGTAGGAAAGTGTGACCCAGGCTGGTTCCTCTTCAGTGGCCTGGCTGAGGTGACCTCTGCTGTATCCAGAGGACCGATCCTCTGCCTGGGGCTGCCTGGCAGAGCAGGCAGGGCAAGTGTCTTTCCTTGCAGAAGGCCTTGGGCTGGGTGAATCCTTTTGGATGCCGAGGACAACAGCCCGTGCAGCTTCAGCCAGGCTCTGAGGTGGTGATGAGCTGGCTCAGGCATCCGCTCTGTTTCAGGTTATGGTGAGGGTCTTGCTGTAGGGCTGGCAGCTTCCTCCCCTCCAGCGAGTGCCTCTGCTGGCATTCGGACAGGGAAGCTCAAGTCCTCTGCTCCCGCCGCTGCTGTGTTCCCGTGACATGCTACCAAGGTCCCCCTGAACACGCCGCTCTGTGGGACTTGCACTAGTGCCAACTCAAAAACCATTTTCTAAGACAGAAGATGTAGTGTTCATGTCCCAGGCAGCTACTGCTCCCTAAGGAGGATGGATACAGTTTTCAGGGGTTGCTAGGCTGAAGAATTGGGTTTTATTTTTCCAAAAGCCTTATTCAGTACAATAACGTACCCAAAATCCTTCTCTGTCCTTTGGATCATAGTGCAAATAATGAATTATTAAGACTCAGCTGAAAATGCAACTTGCTGTGAGCCAGGTCCCAACTCACCAGAAAATGAAGCCTTGAGTGGCTCGTCCCACTGTGGAGAGAGGTTTCCATGGATGACAGCAGGCTGTCAGGTCGGCACAAGCTGTTTTCATGTTAGAAGCATTTAATAGCAATCAGCAGTTTAAATGAGCTTTAATACTGTCCATACTCCCCTTGTGCATGAGGGAATTGCAGCACCTGGTGCCGAAGGGTGTAGCTACAGTCATTCTTGCCATTCCACCAAACAGCCTCTACTTCCCTGCTACGGCTGTATGCAGGGTGTTCCCTGCGGCCACGTTTGCTGGCCAGCACGGAGCTCTCTGCGGCTGGGACATGCCCAGGAGGTGCCCAGCACTTGGCCCTCATGGCTTTTTCCTCTCCAGATGGCAAAACGTGTGGTGGAACTCACCAAATTGCACGTTCTCCTGCAGTGGACAAGGAGAGGAAGCGATTTGGCTTTCCAGAGCACGCGTGAGCAGCGGGCAGGTGAGCTCTACCTTCCTGAGAGGGGGAAAACTTGTTCCCACAGGTTTAGGGCTGGCAGTTCAGCCGACAGCGTCTGGCCCTGCCGAGCTCCTGCGGCAGGAAAGCTGAGCTGTGCCTCCCTCTGCAGTTTTCAGCAGTCATAGGAGAGAGGCAACAGATGCCCTCCATTTAGAACAGGCCTGTCAGTAACAACCACAGCCTGAACCAAAACAGATGTCATCGCCACGGCGGTTAAGGCTGACATTTCACAGACTGCCATAAGTGCTGCACAGCGTGGCTTGAGGTTCCCCAGTTGCCTGTTGCCCTTCCTGAAGGGAAGACCTCACGCTCACAAGGCAAAATCCAGTTGCCAGTGCAAAATGGTGCTTCTTTTTCCGGACATCTCGGGGGGAAAATTCTGCATGCGCTTGGACTATGTAGGAAAGGTGATTTCCTGGTTCCTTAACAACAGAGCAGAGCCAACAGGCCTGTAACCTGAAAATAGATGCCTGTTTTCAAAATATTAAAAGTTCACCAGCCATTCTCTTACAGCATGATGTATTACTGAGTAAGTATGTTTACTCTACTGACTTTCCCCTTCCTCTGGTACTAATAAACTCTTTACAGCAAGGCTGTTCTCCCAGATGCAATTTGGGCAGGATTCCATATGCCAGTACTTCCCCCGCAAGTAAAAATCATCTTAAACGCTTGAGCCTATCTTCTTGGCTGGGGGAAAGCTAAAAGGGGTCCTAGAACGCAGTTTTGAAAAGTGGTTTCCGTGATACTTGAACCTCTCTGTATACCCAGCTTGAACTTTAGAACAGTTCAAGGGCTATCTGCAGATGTTTATAAGACAATATTATCATTTGATTTACTGAGAGCCTGCTGAATGCTCGGGGAAGGGCTTTTAGAGGGACTTCGGAGCTGCCTACATCTGTGCAAATAGCAGCTCTTGGAAGAGATTAAAACAAAAGTTTTGACTTCCTGAGGGGGAAAATTATCACGGCAAGCTGAGTTGCTATCAGTGAATCACATAGTAAACATCAGTCTGCAGTAATTAACATCCAAGAGGACAAGAAAGCCAAGGGACTGTACAGCTCAGAGAGGGCTCCGCAGGGACGAGCACCCTTCTGTGACAGTGCCACGCAGTTGGTGTTAACAGCCTGAGACACACGGATGCATTTCCTTCCCCTGCTTTTTTTCTTCCCCTCCAGCATTTATTAATCTACTTATTTTGATATTTGGTATTTTGTGTAGTGATAACTAACAATCTATAATGAAAAAAGAGGATTAATCCACAGTGGCACTGAGTACATGTTACAAAAATCAATTAAAAAGTCACATTAATTAGGTTTGTATAAGATAAGCTTGTGCTGTACCTCAAACCATGCAGTATGAAAACAACATATTTGGTTGTATTGTAATTAAAATACCAACCTACCTATGTATTTTAATTAATTTACAGCTCACCTAATACCAGTGGCTTTTCTGCAGTGGCACGAGGAATGGAATTTTTTTTTCCTTACAAATTGTCCAACATAAATTTTACAAACTCTTTTTTTCATGTTGTTTTTGAGAACATACCAGTGTCAAATCTGCTTTGTGTTCTTTTTAATTAGCTGCTCCACGCTACATCTTTGACATAGTCCATGCAGAAATTATTACTTGTCCTACCTCCCTCTGTAGATTTATTCGTGCACCATAGACTATTGCTAGATTGGACTGACCTTAATTTCTTAAATAAATATTCTATAGCCATTTCCCAAGTCTTTATTCTTAATGTCCAAAATTCAATTGTGTTTAAAAGAAAAACAAACAAACAAACGAGTTGCTTTTTTTAAGCTACTACAGCTAAGGAAGAATTGAACTTTACTGCACTCAAAGATCTCTTGCTGCCTTAGACTGGAGGACTGTGTAAATTAGAGCCCCACATACAGCGGTCCCATGAAGTCTGTGTGTAGCCAGGATCTGAGAGATTTGATTCCAAGGCCTGCAGACTAACCTGCTTCCCCCGCAGAGGAAGGTACAGGAATGGTGGGGGTGCTCCCACTGCTGTCTTTCATTTAGCTGTATAGAAATAGGGAGAAGACAAAAGAATGCGCAACCAGAAAAGCAGTCTTGGGTTATACTGGGTTCTCTTCTAGCTCATGCTGTTCTGGAACAGCATTATCTAGCCCAGTCTTTTCCCAGCTTTCTGTGTTTGCAGGCAGATGTACGGTGGACGATACAGAAAGTCTCTGTGCACAGCAACTGCCTTTTGCAGAACCAGCACAAACAACTTCATCCCATTTGCAGTCTCTTCTTCCCCAAGACACGCGTCTTTAGCCTGCTTCTGTCAGCACCAATTACCAACCAGCTGTACCTACCCCTGTCTGTCTTCTAGGGAAGCTCTGCTCCAATTTGACTTCTTTGGGGGTGTTTGACTCCAGCTGGGAAACAGAGACAGCATTCTGCAAAGAGCAAGAACATGGTTCTTCTGACCTGGTGAAACACCACCTTAGAGGACTCCATGGTTTTAACGTATCTTTCAAAAACAATCACAAAAAATAGTGGGAAGAATAGTGGGATAACCAGCTGCTACTAAGTAAATGGTGTAAATTAGCATCAAAAAGCCAAATGATCAAACATTGTGTTAGAAAACGAAGATCAATACAGAATTTGCTTTACAAAAAATCTGAAGTGTAAGAAGAGTGCAATAAATAAAACAGTGATAAAGGATTTAATACGTGTACGAAAAAAACTAAAATTTCTTTCCCCAGGTGTACCTGACTGATCAAAGTCAGCCTTCAGCCTAAAGTCATTTGGCAACCAATAGCCTCAGTGCGGCGAGGCTGGGGCCGGTTGCGACCGGGGCCCGGGCGGTAACGGTTATAATGGTTATAAGGGTTATGACGGTTATAAGAGTTGTAACGGTTGTACCAGCTGTAACGGGCCCTCGGCGCCCCGCCCCGCCGCCAGCCCCGCCCATCGCCCC